ACTTATTACGTATTCTATTTAATTAAGGTTTATGTCACCGTTTCCTTATGCATTAATCGAGTTTTTCTCTTTTTCTTTCTCTCTCTCAAGTGATTGGCTGTTGTTTGATATCCCCGGTGTGGCTGCGCTTGATGTGCATGTTGACAAGGTGCCTACCTGTCTATTACCCACTACCTCGTCCATACTGGCTCCAGGAGACAGTTGGTCGTTGCTGGAGGGGACGGGGTGCACGGTCCTTGTGGCCGTGTTAGGCTCGAAGAGTGGTTCCATGCACTCAGTGTGGAGCGGACTACGGTCCAGCCACCGCCTTGTGTGCGCTTGATTCCCAAATACAGTGTGCTTGTGTTTGCCTGTGAAGGAGTGTGGGCCGGCTCCGTTGATGAAACGTGGTTCCCATCCGCATGCCTCCCGGTCTTATTCCTTCGGGTTTACACTGGATATGGGGTGTGCGGTTGGAGCTGTGGGTGGTGCAGCGCAAGCCATCCATGGTCCCTCTGTAGGCGCAGGCGTCCTGTGGCTTGCCACAGTGACAGGCAAATCCGAAACCGGATGCCGCCAACCATATATACTACTGCGTTATCCTTCGTGTACCTAGTCGTGACATACTCTTGGTCAAGCGCAGTGTTATGCCTGAGGTGCTCTCAATGGCCGAGAATGATGCAGAATTACTACAACGCTCAAACGCAGTGTTCCATGCATCCTGATGGATAGATGGTGCGAATCAAATTGATGCCAACATGCGTGGACCCACAAGGATACCCGTAGTGAGCCAGCCGGGAAGGAGGTAACGTTTGAGTTCGCCGTTAATTCGTCGTTTTTTGCACACTTACTATTCTACATGCAAATGCTCGTAACATGGAAACTTTGGCTGTTATTCTTACCTACAAGTGGAAGTGTTACACGTTCACCTTATTAGGGTTCTTGAGGATAAATGTTCTCCCATTGGGATGGTGATGTATGATGCACAACTGTGTGCCCACCTGATCCCAGTGCGTTGGTACGAATATTCCGCACTTGTTAATGATCAATCTGACTACAACCTCAATGACCAGACGCATGAATACAGGTTTAACCTGCACTCTAGGAGTTTTCCTTCCTTGGTGTCAGTATCCCCGCACAGTGACTGGAGCTCAAATGCATGGGAACACGTTCGTTCTTCTCGACAGTGCTTTGCAATGTCAATCACCAGGGCCACACAATCCACGCAGACCTAGTGTCCGGCCGAAGTACCAATCGTATTGGGAGTGACCTCGAATAGTCATCAAGCGTCCATGTGAGTGTTGCTCATTTGCAATGTCCGCAACACATATGCCCTCTTCTATATGCCCAGCCCTCTTCAAGTTCGGTGGACCTGCTCTAATAGGTGATCTACACGAGTTGCTAGTAAAACTTTGGGAGCAGGAGACAGTCCCGACAGACTGGAACCGCTCCGTCATTGTCCCAATTTTCAAGGGAGGCTCCCGTTTGGTATGTAGCAATCATAGAGGGATCAGTCTGATTTCGATTGCCTCTAAATTGCTTGCCTCTCTCATTCTCCACAGACTGACTGGCACTCGTGAAAGCCAAATTCGTGAAGAGCAAGCCGGATTTCGTCGAGGTCGGGGCTGCATCGACCACATCTTCACATTGCGTCAAGTGTTGGAGCACCGCCATGTTTATTGGCGACCCACCGTTGTCGTGTTTCTTGACATAAAAGGTGCCTTCGACTCAGTCGATCGATGTGCCCTTTGGGACTGTCTGTTGAGGAAAGGTGTGCCTGATAAATATCTAAACATTATCAAAGCGCTGTACGCACATAGTTCGGGCAGGGTGAGGGTTTATGGCCAACTCTCGCCACCCTTCAGTATCACCAGCGGTGTGAGACAAGGATGCCCGCTGTCACCTTTCCTCTTCAACTTCGCTATTGATGAAGTCATGGAAACAGCGTTCGCTGGACACGACCTAGAAGGTGTGGAGCTACTCCCTGGTGAGCGACTTCTTGACTTGGAGTATGCAGACGATATTGCCCTAATCTGTGACGGCTCCCAAACATGCCAAACAGCACTGAACCGATTAGCACTGGCTGTCAGTCGTTTTGGGCTATGCTTTGCTCCATCAAAATGCAAAGTACTTCTCCAAGATTGGCAGGGACCCAACCCTGCGCTAACGCTTGGTGGTGATCTGCTAGAAGTCGTTCAGGAATTCAAGTACCTGGGCAGCTATATTAGCGTCTGTGGGATTGAAGATGAGGTTACGAACCGTATAGCAAAAGCTCGAGGTGCTTTTGCCAATCTCCGCCACCTGTGGCGCAGACGCGACATTACTCTCGCCCTCAAGGGCAGAGTTTACAAGGCAGCCGTCCGTTCAACTCTCCTATATGGCTGTGAAACCTGGTCCATCAGGTCGACAGACATGAAGAGACTCGTCACGTTCGATCATCGCTGCCTTCGCAGCTTAGCTCATGTCTGGTGGGAGCACCGCGTGAGCAATGAGCGTGTTCGACGTCGCGTATTTGGTGCAGGAAGAGCGAGTGAACCGCTCAGAACGATTATATCACGCACCAGGCTCCGATGGCTGGGCCACGTGTTGCGCATGCCAGCACACCGACTCCCACGACGTGCATTGTTTGCGCGTTGTGGGTGCGGTTGGAAGAGGAGGAGGGGAGGCCAAGTGATGACTTGGTCGCGAGAAATGAAAACCCTCACTTCGAAGTTGGCGTCGGTTGGTGCATCCTGACTGCCTGGCTGGGGTCCTAAGGACGGTGAACACGTTTGGCTGGACACACTTGCTGATATGGCTAGGAGCCGGCCCCAATGGCGTTTGTGTTGTGAGTTCCTTTGTCCATCCCCCTCCTGTTTAGCATCCCCCTCCAATCACGATCTCAATCGTTAGGCATAATATGACTTTCTTTTACGGCAGCCAGCTGTTAGCTCTCCGGAACGATGTCCATCCGTTACTGGGGACTCAGCGGGCGTGCCACTGTTTGTTTGTTTTTTTCTTTTCTTGCCTTTTGTATTGCGGCACAATAGCTGAGGTGTTTTCCACCTCCAGCTAACGTGTAATGATGATGATGATGATGATATGCCCAGTTGAAAGGCCACAACCGTATGTGTGTGTGCGTGTGTGTGCTTGTGTGTGACGGATTCAAAGGAACACTCATAAATCCCTTAGATTGGTCGCCCATCCTCAAGCATACCCATCTTAAAGGCCAGCGGTAATGGTGACGTCGCTAGCGTACATGGATCGCGTTAACTCCTGGGTACCAAGCTGTTGCTGCTTACAATATTCCACACTCGTTCGTACATTGGATTGAACAATTGGGTGTAGTGATGAACAATTATCCCTGGAGTTCATGTACTATACAACCCTTCCTCGCTTTGGAATGTAGTGTGGAAATTCGGTGTTCAAGACCCAACAACTTTTGTTGCAAGTGTCCACACGTTGGCTCGTCCATGTAAGCTGAATAATCCCGGCAAGTCACTGACTAGCGATTAACATGTTGATGTTAATGCTACATGTTCTGTTTCATATATTAGTCACAAGCATGAGTGTAGCTAATACTTCCAGGTGTACATCGCTCATACTGCAGTTAGGATAATTCAGCTATTATCGAGATAAGGTGCGGAAGAGCCAACGTTTCTTCTACAACTTAAATTAGAAATGACCAATCATCTAGGTTGATTTAAAAGTAGATTAGTCCGACTATGGTGTTACGGTAGTGTAAAAATAAATATTTAATTTGAACATAAATTCAGCACAGAAACAATTGATTTGTTGCGAATAGCTGCAGCCGGGGTGTATGCTGACAGATTGTTAGTAAATTGTAAGCGGTAAAATTACGATGAGAAATCCAGGTCGCATGGGAATATAATACGTTCAGTTAACCAACTTATCAGCGCCATCTGCCCAGGCACTTGATAGCCATTGTTTGTCTACCCTCATATGATTAACTATGCAATGCTCACTGTTTTCATTGCAAATCACACCATGGGTATGGAGATTTACTCGTTCATTGTTTTCGCAAGCCATGTCTAAGTGGTTGCATTCCAAACCCCGCTCTGAGGATACCATGGTGCAATGATGTCACACGACATACTCATTTGAAGTATTAGATAAATAGATGTTGTGCAAGGTAACTCTTGTAAATTTACTAAAAGAGTTTGCACACTCTTTCGAAAACCGATGACAGAACAAGGAGCAGCGGAATTCACTACATGTGTTGGTGATATGATAGCTTCAAGGGAACCATCAGCAAACGTATGATATTCTCGTCTACTAACGCTTATAGCAATACACAGGAACCATAAGTCATCTGTGTTTTGCGATATATTTACTTGTGCATCATTCCACCTGGTAATCATACTCACGGCATTTGCTTCCGTATTTCCATATTTGTCTCAATCTATTGTTGATACCCACACTTCTGACTAAACTTAAGGTTGTCGTTTCGGTTCTCATCTAGACGCTAACTAACCACTGACAGTCGTATTGGTTACTCATAATTCTACGTGCGATTTGCTAAAACTAGAGAAATATGGCTGTTATTCTTTTATTCAATCCAAACTCATACACGTACGTAGTGTTATGCTTCATGAGGGTCATTATTTCTTCATCCAGTTTGTGGTAGTCCATACACAAGTGTGAACAAATGCCCATTCGCAACACTGCAGTATTATAACTCGAGCCAGGGATGTTTGTTATGTCAACTGATATCTCACGTTGAATGACTAAGTGGAAGCCATTTAGAACCACTTATAAACACCACACTTCAGCCTAACAGACTGATGTCATTTTCACTCGCGTAACACCATTATCTGCTGGCTCGATGTCTAAATGGGACTCGCCTAAAGTACAAATCCGGCTAACATCTGTTCGTGTCTCGATACATTCCCACTTGATAGATGAATCTTATTACATTTCTTCTCGTGTCACACCGTGACTTATCAGGGGTTGCAATATGAAGTCAATGTATCCCATCTCAAGTATCTCTATACGCCCCCTTGTACTGCTGCCGCCTTCAGGTAAACGCACTGAGATTCAGACAAATCATCAAGGTTGATTCCCGGAGCAGCAGCAATACGTTGTGACATCCGAATCGAAATGCTTGCACATAGATAGTATTCTAGACACTGATGAATTGGTCGAGATATGCTAGCGGTCAGAACGACTGACCAGGGGGAAATAAATAGTAACATATGACGGACTGCCTGGTGGTTCTACAACACTGTTGATTCTCGCTCACCTCGGACAAGAGACGATTATAACCGGCTCTGGTTTTACCTTACGACACAGATAGCCTGCAGTGGACATAATCGCACCATTTCCCTGCTTACTTGGAAACTTGCTTACGCCATCTCCGTCATTGTTTTGATGTCATCCTTATTCAATACGCCGCATGTAAGTCGCGCTTCGGTACAGTTACATTCTAGAATGAGTAACTACCGACTTGGTGCAATGTGGTATCTTTATTGCACCTACCTAGAACGGATGAGCCACAGGTAACCTAACATTTTTAGTCTTAGTTAACTCGGCTGTATTTCGCGATGACTTCACATGTGTTGCCCATAACGATATTGTACTCAACATGACCTATGCTATCCTATACTTGCTATCTTCTCATGCAGAGTCTAGTATGGTTAAATACCGAGACAGTGAGCTACGGCATCTTCCTCTTCATAGTATTATTCGGCCGAGATTCACATCCCTATGTAAGCTCCATGGTATTACTCACCATAACCGTAGCTTGACCAGCTGCTCAATGCTAACTAGCATGACGCTTAGAGAGCCGGTGCATCGCAGAATAATGGTTTCGTCCATCCATGAGCTCATTCGTGTACCGCACATGTAGACGGCAGCACCGAATTGCACACTTTTTCACTGTACCAGTAGTCTAGTCATCATTCTACCTAGCAGTTGCTTCACTATTGCTGCATCAGGTTCCTTCAAATATGGATGCCCAAGATTTAAGTCTGCCACGTCTAAATGTTGAAGAAAACATCAACAGTTCGTATTGGGTATTTATTCTCATGCCTGCGAAAGTGGTTGTTAGCCTGACCTCCAAATGAAATCCAAGTACACGTTTGTCGTACCATTGATGATGATGTCTAATGTGTCTCTCTCCAGTTTGTGACAGCTCACACTTAAGTTTGGATAAATGCATGTGCATATGTTGTATTCGAACTGCCATTGGACACGGATGACGCCAATCTATGTATATATGTATACCGAATGAATTCAACGAGGAATACTCATACCGCTTTTGTACGGCTAACTTAGTGCAGTAAAACGACATTCAAGCAAACCGAAAATCCCATTACCAGAACATGAGGAAGGTGAGTTTATGACAAACTCATGTTGATTTCAGGTGTTGCGAATCCAAGGCAAATTTGATCGATGCGAATTCCATGGACTGCTCAAAAGGGCGGTTTCTCAGGTGCTGGAGAAGGCACTATAGTAGGCGGAATAGAAGCACCATGAGTATGTTCCCACTCAATTTACTAATCCAGGCCAATAAGGCGGCGTATGTGGTACGTTTGCCTGTGTGATGAGTGATATTGCATTTCAGAAGTAGATGTTGTTTGAGCTCCCCGGTGCGGATGCGCTTGATGTGAATGTTGACAAGGTGCCTACCTGTCTATTACCCACTACCTCTTCCATACTGGCTCCAGGAGACAGTTGGTCGTTGCTAGTGAGGACGGGGTGCACCGTCCTCGTTACGGTGCTAGGCTCAAAGAGTGGTTCCATCCTGTGTGGAACGGGCTACAGTCCAGCTACCGCCTTGTGTACGTCTGGTGTATATGACTTCCCAGCTAGGCCGGAATGCTTCCGCTCTGCTTGTTGATGAAACGTGGCTCCTATTCACATGCCTCCCGGTCTGATTCCTTCGGGTTTACACCGGATATGGGGTGTGTGGGTGGATCTATGGGTGGTGCAGCGCAAGCCACCCATGGTCCCCTTTGTAGGCGCAGGCGTCCTGTGACTGTCCCCATAGACGTCACAGTGACAGGCAAATCCGGATGCGGACGCCGCCATATATATATATATATATATATATATATATATATATATATATATATATATATATATATATATATATATATATATATATATATATGCTCGTCGGGCTTTAACGATGCGAAGAGAAATTTCCTTAAGGATAGGTTTCATGATGAAACCGCATACGAAAATTGCGGACAGCAAAAAGCGCACAGGCATAAAAGCAGACACAAAGATTGCGGCCACGGAACAATGCGCACACTAAAAGTAAACACATATTATCAATCTGATCTCATTGTCACAAGTGCCCATATCCATTTATGGCACTTACACGATCCAACTTTTTGTCTATGCCTTCAAAAGTGGCAAATTGTGACAATTATGTCATTCACACCCAAAGTGCTCGTTAGTTCGACCGCTGGGAACGTACCGTACTGCGCAGTATTGCAAAACCATCTACAGAACTATACAGACTAAGCCTCGCTAGCCTACTGCAGTTAGTCGAGGTCTCAACGAATCGGCGGCTGAAACTCATAGTGTGTCATCAGGCCGAGTTAATGTTGCGCCTTCCCTTGCCATTCTTTTGAAGACGCTGAAATCGAAGTCGGCCATTTTCACCTCAGCCAAAGCCTCATAAGCAATGTCAGCAACGTGGGCCTAAAGACTTCCTTTGAAATCGATGTCAGCCGAAAACCAACTCAAGCCTCTGGCTGCACTGACCATTGTCCCGGTCGTTGATATAAGTGTAGTGTTTGATGATTTTTGCGCTACCTTTCTAAATGAAGAATCATGTAATACGATGCTCACATACCTCTTCACGTACGGTTGCGAAACCATCCAGGGCAACCAGTGTACCTTACTTAATACCCACATTAGTAATTCATATCGCTAAAATCGAACTGCTGGACAGTGTTCCTGGTAGTGACCACGAGACATTAAGAATTCTCTGCGTTACCGGAATCAACTTCATCCCACAGCCGCTCACGCAACGTTGCATCCGAGTAGAATAATTGAACACATCCCCAACACTTTAGCCGTTTTTCCGATTGGGCTGAATTTTTCCGCTCCACCACCTAGCTCACCAGCACACAATTTATGAAGGTGCTTTAATCAAGCTAGACATAAGCACGATTGTTAGAACTTCGGTACGCACTTCGTAGCAAACAACCTTTTGAGCTCAAGGCAGCCTCCTCCAAACAACCAACAGACACGGCAAACTGAATCGCACCTTGTAAGGGGAACAATTCAGCTGGCATCACAGCCAGCCTTCTAACTTGGCCATCATACCCTATTGCTTAAGCACGAGATTGTTCACGACAATATCAGTCGCCAGCATAAGATAGAAAAGCAATTAGTAGCCGACCTCTCAGTGGTCGGCGCAACCTCACATCCAATTCACACGTCCCCTGACTTATTACTGATGTCAGAGCAATCATACGCGTTGCGCATCAAATTTGTGGCTGTAACCTAGTTCCGCGCACAAATTACCAACGACGAATTCGCAATGAAGTCGACGCCCCTTATTCGCAAATATGGCAAACAGAAATGGACTACTTATAAGTTGTCAGTACAATCATTTCTCTACATCAACTTGCAACTGCTAATCGGTCGCGTTTGTGATGTCGTGCATTCATCCGAGAAGTCTCTTGATTCTGTGATGAAAAACTCTGACAAGCGACCAGTTTACTTGGTATCTGGCAAATACCCAAGTAAGGGCGCAACCCGTTATGCCCTAACACCGTAGCTTTACTCTGAATCAGAAATGAAGGATGGTATGGAAGACTGTCGAAATGCAGCCGCGACGGGCGCTGATGCGCCCACAATCCTAGTACGCAAGAATCACCAGTGCCGTTTGAAAGTGTTACCACTTATGTAGGCAAAAAGTACGAGTGACTATTCATGCGTTGATCTGGACTGCGTTTTCATCAATGAAATGCGCACGTGGAAAATTGCCCACTTAAGCAATGCGAGAACGGGCTAAGCACTAGTAAAATTGATTTCAAATTGAAAAAAACAGAACGTAGGTTGAAATGAAACGGTACAGGATTTGTTACTACGAGTACAATTTTGCGTTCAGCGCAAATAGCTTAGAGATAGATTTAACACCGACAATAACGACAAGAGTAATTATGGATAATTCGCTTATCTTCGCACGTATTTAAGCCCGTCTCCCGTTGATTCATAATCGCGAACACAAGAAGCCACGGCAGCTTTCAACGCATCATATGCTTTCTTCCTGACCTCAAAGCGACCTACATGCGCATTGGCTAGTGTAAGTCTCTGGCATGCCAAGTCCCACTGTAGTCCAACAAACAAATGCCACAACGCTTAGATGACTGGAATGGAATAAGGAATTCAAAGCATTGTGAATTCCTCCACAGGAACTGGTGGTTTTCCGGTGACTTATCAAGAGCGGCCTCGTGACGGTTCCACATTTTCAATGAGTATTGCGGTTCTCGGTCTGCAGTCCCTTCAACGTAAGTAGCGAACGAATAATTGAGCACCGCATTACATGATATTTCAGTTGGAAATGTGCTGTCAAGCTCATCAAAACTCCTCTCACTTCAGCGACTGGGACTAAGGAAAATACAGCCAGCGACTTCAGCTGTAGTTCAATATTGACATCCATTGCAAAAGCACTCTTTAGGTCGACTTTGCATACTTTTGTGAAACTTCGGCTGCGTCGGCAAATGCGAATCTGGCAGCGTTAATAGAAGTCTTCTCAAAATCGACTAACATCTTTGTTGGCGTATATCCGGTAAAATTATTTTCAGTATTACAAACATTCTTGTATAGTTCTGCAACTTGATGTAAAGGTAAGCGAACAACTCTCGCCCACGCTGGCGTGCCACGTATACGGAAGATAAAACGTTTTGGGAACTTTATCAAAAGTACTGTCCCCGTATATGGTATCTGTGCACAATTCAAGTATAAGTTCCTTATCACCTAACACAAGAATCCTTTCTGGATCCTCCATACCAGAATCATATAGAATCAGTTCGGAATACTGCTCAGGAATGGCAAAGTTTGTGCCTTTTGGACAAGGCAAATGATCGCTTTTTCTGTGACAAAAGTTTTTGCAATAGATGTTTGTTTGGGCAAGTGGGCCAAAGCATCACTACTCAGTGCAGACAACACATTTCCTATAACGTTTGCGAAGTGTAGCACTGACTGACCTCTTGTGCAGTTTCATTTGGCTTCGTGCAGTATTGGCTTCCGCTTTTTGAGGACATGTGTCATGACAGTGCGCAGTCGGCGGTTGCAAAATGATACCGTCTCGTGTCTTCATCAGCGAGCGATATCTCACACCTCGGTTTTACCTGCATCTCCAACTTACTACTCTTTCGGTTTTGCGAAAAGCGAGATATTCAAACTCCAAGTATGTCAAAACTATGTTGCCCTTCTGATTTTTGTGGTACTCAATAGGTAACAGTGCAACAAGAAACGGCGATGTGTTGCAGTCCACTTAGTAAATCACGTACTCGCGTCAACCGTTTACATAGAACTGGTGGATTAAATCGGTTAACTAGCGGCGTCATTGGCCAAACATTGGCGTTCGAAGGTCATTTGATGCTGTCAAGCTTCATGCTCTGCGGTCTTCATGGCAAGGCGACACTAGCGACGAACTCCATCTGCTTACATGGAGTGAGTATCACCCGCAATTTTGTTGTGGTTTCGACAAACTTAAGTTTGTGATCAATGCCCCTTCCTTGCTTGTGGTTTATGAATCCAACCGCATTGCGGGTGTACAGCCTTTGCGTCTGTGCTAGGCTCAATTAGTGGTCCCATCTAGCATGCAATGTTCGGTGCGCGGCTGATTCACAACTTCGACAGCAATGCTGTGCATGTTGAACAGGTGTGCGCCGACTCTATTGATTAATCTTGACTACCATTCACTTGTGTCCCGGTCTTACTCCTATTGTTTTACACTGGATGTTTGTGGATGTAGCTATGGATGGTGCAGCGCAAGTCAATCATACTACATCTCCCATTAAACGCAAGCATCCTGTGGTTGTTCACATGCGAGACACAGTAACAAGCAAAACCGAGAACGGACGCTGTCAGTTATAATTCACACTCGTTTAGACATGCATACGTGGTCATAGTTGTCCATTGATGCGGCTTTAATATTATTGCGAGGGATACAAATTTGTGGAATCTTGTGACTAACTTTTTCACCATCAATATGAGTCAACGTTTATGTTACGGTGTAAGGTGGGTTATACCGTGACGGGAGGAATTGTTAAACTGCTTAGCAGGCATTTGTGAAAATACAGCTTAATCTTAAGATCGGACCAACCATTGGAGATGTGTCCAATAATCCCCCCCCCCTCCGGATAAAATGTTGTATTAGCGCCTGTGGTGTGACGTATATTCCGACACCAAAGGTAAGTCTTATTGTCTCGTAATCACTACCTACAACATGTCCAGTAGATCGGTTTATGCGACTGTATTCCTAATGTGCGTATTAAGCAAACTACGTCATTAATAATACGGTCATATGTGACCATGTTAACAGCTTGCGAAAATCTGTTTACTTTTAGTGTGTCAAATCTTCTTATTCGCTTTTGTCTGTGCGCTTTCTGGAGTCCGCAATTCTCATGTGCGCTTTCTTCTGGTCACCTTAATGATAGTGTATCCAGCAGAAGTACAGCTCCCAAGGTAGACGAAACTATCTACTTGTTCATGTTGTGCACCTTCAAGCCTGAGCATGGGAGCAGGTGTGAGCCAAATCTGGAGCAACACTGCACTTCGATGGGGCGAAGCTCATGCCGTACTTAGATGCTTCAGCCGCCAAACGATCCAGATTGAGTTGCTTGCTCTGTGGATTGTCACTGATTAAGATGATATCATCAGCATAATCGTAGTCGGTCGCGCGTTCACCCGGTAGAAGCTCTAGGCCGAAGTTTTGGAAATCTACCAGAGCTCTCGACAGGACGTCTTCGATTGCGACGTTGAAGAGAAATGGGGATATAGGGCAGCCCTGTCGATCACTACTATGCACGGTGAAGGGTGAGGAAAGTTTTTCTTAGGCACTCTCTCTGCGGGAGGTGTATAGGTAAATTGCAAGTAAGATGGTGTACTTCTCTGGCACCCCGTTCTTCAGCAAGCAACGTCATAAAACACACCGATCAACGAAGTCAAATGCAGCCCGTATGTCTAGGAATGCCACGATAGTTGGCCTGTGGTAAATGTGCCGATGTTCGAGGAGTTGGCGGAGCGTAATAATTTGATCCACGCATCCACGGCCCGGACGGAAACCAGCTTGTTCTTCACGGTAGCATGAATTGCGTACTGAGGATAGTCTACGAAGCAGAATGGATTCCAATAGCTTGAAGGAAACCGAAATAAGACTAATCCCGCATTGATTGACCATGAAGTACGCGCATCTTTCTTGAAAATCGGAGTAACTGATTCTCCCCAAGAGGAGGGCACTTTTTCTTCATGCCATATTTTTACGAAGAACGATCGCCATTAAGATGGCCATATTGACACTTATTACTAGGTAGAAGGGTTTTAGATGAAATTTTGCTGGTCCATCCCAGCAACTCACAAGCGCGACAATCTAACCATCAATACGAAAAAGCCCCAGTCGATCGTTTCGGTCCCTGGTAGGGAACCGAACTCGTAACTGTTAACATCTTGCGCCAACTACCGAGCAGATTATGCCATTGAGCCACGAGGGACGGTGGCATGCCGTCATAACTTGCAAGCTAACTGGGATATAGCGCGGCCTATCCTTCACTGCTATGCACGTTACTAACATTGTAGAGGACGGTGGTTGGCCTCCAGCATAGTACCTATATCAAACATTGTGTGTAAAGACTGAGGACGAGTGCTTTGTCTACCAATGAGTTGGGCGATTTTATATGAGATTTTACCGGTTCATCCCCCGGGTTCGTCGCGCTACATCCCTTTTAGCTTGCAGTCATATGTGTTCATCGTCTTTGGCATTCCAACCCGAAGTCTAGATGCACCTGCCGAGGATGATTTTTCAGTAAGGGGTTTCGGCCGGTGGCCGAGTGGTCGGCACGTTTGCTTTCCAACCATAAGGTCACCGGTTCGAATCCGCGTAGGGGTGGGCGTCCTCGCGGTATACTCAGCCCGCGCGCGACTAGTGGTGGTCGCGCGGCAGCGAAGCGCCGTTACGGCGTATAAGCTGACACCTTTCTTCTTTTCTTTTCAGTAAGGGTTTTTGTTGCTGCTGACCAAACACTTGGTTGTCATGTCCACCTTTTCCATCCGGACCGCGTTTACGCAAACAACTCAATTCGCAGGAGTCAGTGCGCTGACATGCGCATGAGATAGATGTGCATCCGGATTTCCTATTTTATTACTTATGTCTACAATGAATACTTGGCTACTTTCTAGCTAGTCATTTTATTGACAAAACTACACGCTTTGCCTAGTTCAAATATAGATCTGTCGGTTTTTCCTCGAAATCCTTATATCCCACATGGAATTAAACTTTACTTCTATACGAAGCCTGTCTTCGGAAATGTAGCCCTTCCTGTTGTGGGTTTCCATTCATTATCCTGAACTTTTTTCAATCAACATCTCGTGGACTGTTTTCTTTTAGCTTCTCATTCACCGATGGAGCACCTTGACCAAACGGAGTCTCATTTCTTACTTCCTGACATGAATAACAGCATAGACGCTGCACCGGAAACGCCTTTCGCTAAATGCACAGATATTGATTTGGATCAGAATTCTAATCAGGTACACTCTATTGTTGTCCCTTTACTCTCCACTTCTCTTTTTTAAGGGCGCTGATGACAATCCCTGCTCCGTTAGTGCTGTGAATCCTAGTCGCCGTGATTCACGCATAAAACCTGAAACCATCCTAGCTCGCGTAGGTTCCTTCACAAGTATCACGGGACCTGTGAGCTTGGAGGATATATTCGAATATGAGTGGGCTGATAGTGATTCAGAAGCACCCAATGACAATTCGAAGGAATCATATGTCGTCCAGGAAGTATTGGCTGATTACTTGAAGGCATGTTTTTCTTCCTTTTCTCCATTGCATCAGTACGTGGGTAAATATTTATCGAGATGCAGCGAATCTTATGCTTTTATGCAGATCACCCACTTCTAAACGCTTTCGTTCTCTGCTTTTTAACGAGACTGCTGTTGCTAAACTACTGATTGTTTAAATACCCTTTCATGCTGGCAATCCAGAAACTTGACAACTAATCGGTTTACCTGTTTTGTGGTTTGTATTCACTGTGACAGGATTGTGACTGCTGAAATTAGTTCAGTTATTTAGCGAATTAGGCAGCCTTTATTGACACGTGAAACGTTTTGCACACGAGATGCACTTCCCTTCATCTTAACAGTGGCTTTCGTCTGATCGCATTTGGAACCATCCTGCACAACATTACGGTTTGGCGCCCTCAGTCTCAGTGATTTTTGAGCCATCACTGTTATCGAGTGACCACCGTTTCCGCGTGAATGTGGTGCCGAGTGACGTGTGGCAGCGTTGATCAGATCAGTTCTTCAGGTCGCCAAATCATACTGACCACCAAAGCTAACGCTGTTCGTGCACCTGCTCATCTAGACTGGCTTGTGACATTACTGGGTATGGTTGGTAGTCGGCATCAGTGGCTTGTTTACAGTCATCCCTAAGTGAACTGTCCGTATGATACTAGCTTATCTTTGGGGTAAGTTCGCTTATGGCGTTGGGGATGAAGGACACATGAAAACCCCTGTACCACCTTCGCTGTTGGTCAGCTTCTTGTGACCCAAATTGGCAGCGAATCGTCAGAACAGCTGCTTCCGCAGCTCAACAGATGCTATCTTTTGCGTACCTACCAAAATAACCCTTTTTGCAACATTTCTGTATTTCCACTCTTGGCGTAATAAGTTGCTGCACAGGCTTAGTACTATTTTCATACCGTTTGATTGGACACTCGTTGACATGGCTAAGGGCCGACCGCAATGACCTTTATGCTGTAAGTCTATTTGTCCATCAAGATCACATAGCAAATTAATAATCTTATATTCAACATTATATTACTTGACTTTTGAGTTTTTTGTGGTGTTATTTTTCGTATTGCGGCACATTAGCGAAGACTTGTTTCTCGCCCTCAGCTAACGTGTATTGGTGATGATTTTCATACCGTTACTGTCCATGACTTTATCCATATCTTTCCGTGCTAGTTTAAACAACCAGAATCCTAACTCGGAAACGGTTTCCAACCACCGAGATTATAAGCTTTTTATCGGTATTATATAATGTTACGTTCTTGCGACATGAGGCCAATATTTTCTCCTTTTAAAGCTATGATCAGTTCTGGAGCTTCGTTTATTCCGCACAATTACTACGACCAAAGTAACCAATGTATTCCTTGACAGACGCCTTAAATCTGTCTATCAATTGACGTATTTCGTCAGTGTCTACTAGGCATAATATCCTGATGTACCACTTAATACGGAGACATTACTTCGCTTGTAAGGAATCATCATAAGTTTTACGATGACCATCGAACACATGTCACACCGGTAGATAACTTCGACGGTTTCATTTATCACACCCTACCACACTGTCTGAGGTAGTTATACAATTTGCATAGATGTAATTGTAGTCGTGTACTTTTTACCTGATTCAATTATTGTGCACCTTTTATAGATTAAATCGTTCAAGCGCAAGTACCCGGATTTATCGCGACGCACTATGGACGCTTACGAACGATCGTGGCTCCAGCAAGAGGGTCTTGTCCCACCAGGTAGAGCTGATCTGGGTTTGACGGCTCTTAGGACAGATGAGGTGATGAAGCTACTTCAATTAGACTATCCGGATGTTCATAACGCACTCAACGACCTCTTTCGTCGCCGTCGGTTCCAGCAGGCTGCTGATTTACAAAAGCGTCAGTATGAGGTGAGAGGCTTTTTTAGAGTGGCTTTTTCAGCCCAAATCTATTGAGAGGATTACGTCGCACTATTGGTAGCCTCTATGTAAAATGTTTTTCTTCTGATCCCCACACCTACCCATATGCGATAGGATCACCGCGTGAGCAGACCCGCCGTTCATTTCGAAATCAAACCTGGCACGACAACGTGCCGCTCGTTGACCTGTCCATGTTGACTGCCCTTGTTCGTTTACCTGCCAGCTTCCTTTTGTGTGCTTCGCTTGCTCTTGGTTCACCTCATTTGATATAATTATTTGGTGATCTGTTGATAACAGCGAAAATACACGGGTCTGTTGACTGTTAGATGCCGCGCTGCCCTTGTCTGACTCAGATTACTAAACTAATAATGGGAAGTGGTTACCTTAAAGGCCGGTCTCTCGGAGACATCAGCTATAGACTTGCTTGCATTCCAAACACTGTCGCTACTTCCCTTTTTTCCTTTCAAATATTTCCCTGCATTAATAGGTCGGCCAGTTGCCGAATGGTCTGCACGCATGGTTTGCAGCCATAAGGTCGCGGGTTCGAATTCATGTAGGAGTGGACTCTTTCGCGTTATACTCAGCCCGCGCACTGCTCTTAGTGATCGCGTGGTAACGAAGCGCCATTATGGCTTGCGGCCGCCGACTTTTTTCTGTTTTTCTCAATCATCCGTTCATTTCACAAATCTTACCGATGAATGCTAATCGTTCTTCAGATTAGGGACCTCATCTCGCATTGGTTCCTATAACATCCCTACGCTAGATCAGTTCAGTCAGCAGGTGGTGTTGGCTCTCACTGTTCACTCGATGGATACTATGTTTCCGAAAAAAGTTGTCAAGTCAAAATAAGTTTTATGAGCCCGAATGGGTTCATTTCCACATTTACACCACCACTGCGGACACCTAGTTGAGAATATCAATGTACATGTTTGGGTAGAAAAGTGGAAGCAAAAGCAGAACTGTTACTCCAACAACCACTCGCGCAGCGTGTTAGTGACTTTTGCTGTGTCAACAAGCAAACGTGTGAGATAAGGCAAACCAGTATTACGACAGGATGCAGTGCGGGGGAATAAAATTCTGAATTTCGAACGAGTGGAAAAGAAAGAGAGCGTTTTAGAAAGATCATTGTGAAATCCATCAGTTAGTATTTCAGAAGAGAAATCATTGCAAGCATCGAGATGTCTAGAAATGACCGAATCAACTAAAGAATCTCTAGACAAGTCACTGCATCTGGGAATGTGCTTTATAGATCGCATCAATAAAATGTACTTTTTCTGAAGCAGTCCAGGGAAAATGACAGGAGAGCAGTATAGCCAATGGAGAATAATTCAAGGTGTCACAAACCTGAATATTAAAGTACGAGGTACTGAAAGCACCTTAAGTTTGAGAGCATAAAAGGAAAATTTTCTGACTTTTTGGTAAGTTTTACAGACATGCGTGGACTAAGAAAGGTTCTAGGGCAAAAAAACGCCGAGATACTTGACGGTGGAAGAGCTGGGTTTGGGATTTTCATTCCCAGTAAATGTGGAGGAGAAATCTAAGAGGGACTACAACTTATCGCCACGTAGAAAAAAACATATTACATCCCTGCATTTAGAAGCCTTAAGCGTAAGAGATCTGGACGAAGCCCATTCTACCAGATCTCCCAACCCACGTTGAAGTGATGAGGAATCCTGGTTAATGGGGACGTACATCCCAGTAAAACATCATCGGCATTTTTACACCCTATACATGTGGCTTGTATAGTGAGATATTCAACATACAGGGAAAATAGAAAAGGTGATAGGATCACTCCCTGTAGAACACCACTCGGCACAGAGGACAAAGGATTTCGTACCGTTCAACTTGGTGAAGTGAGTACGATCTGTAAAATAGTTTCGTAACAGATTACACACACCAGGGTGAACTCCATTTTCAGGTAGCAGGTTTAGCAGCCTTGACCTGTCCAGGCTTCCAAAGGCATTCGAATAATCCAGGAAGAGAAGCCGCAATGATTTACATTTTTGATCTAATGCAGAGACTATAGAATGAACAACATATGCCACTGCATCCAATGAGGAGCGCTTAGGTCTATACGCAAACTGGTCGATATCGTCTTCAGGAGCGGTTGAACAAATCCGCGAAATTAACAATCTTTCGAAAACTTTTAGGAGCACAGATGTACATGCAATTGGGCGATACTTTTGAGATCCTTTTTTGGTACTGGTGTGATACAGGCCGTTCTCCAAATGTCCGGGATCACACCCGCAGTGAGACATTTGTTAAAGAGGTCTGTTAAAGGCAGTGTCAGAGAATCAGCACACTCCTTCGAAATTAATGGTGTGAGAGCATCCGGACCACAAGCTTTGCTTGCCTTTAATCTTGTGAGTTCCTTGTGAACGTTGCTTTGATCGAAGGGCGCGGCTGAACTTGAGCTGATGAAGGAGGGTAAGGAATAAGAGCTTAGTGAGGCGGAGCTAAATTCCGAATTCAGTTTATCCACATCCACTTCGCCGCTCTGGCTGTTAACGCTTCTACCACAGAGCTGCCTCCGAAGCCTCCATAGATCGCGAAAGTTCTGGTTGCCTAGAACTACTTCGACGTATGATTGGTTTGCTCCTTTTATCTCGGATTTAATTGCGGTGGTTAGGCTTTTGACACGGGTAGCATTCTTGCACTTGCAGGCCCATTCTTTCATCCTTCGAAGTCGCTTTAGTAGTGGTGATGAAAATCTATCTGCTCTTAGATCGTTTTAACAGGACAGCATGTGTCGAAGGAATATTTGATGTAGTCCGTAAGATGGTCACATTCGAACGACAGGTCCGAAAAATCAGTTAACGAAAACATTGTTCGGAGCTTCGTGATATTTTCCAAAGAGCAATTTCGCCGTTTGACAATCTTGTAAGGACCTCTAGTCAGCATTAAAAAGTTAGACATGCTGTATATGACTGTATACAGTTTTAAAATACAATGGTCTGAACTGATCAAAACATCCAGCTTTTGTATGGCAAACAACTGTCGTTTGTTTGTGAACACAGCGTCCAACTGGGCATCTTGTCTGGTCGTAACAGTCACTAGGTCTATTAAGCCAACTGTCTTTAAGGATGTTGTATCCCTTCTATTTAAGTCGCCAGCAACAATACAGATAGAACAACCTAATTTAAGCAGTAGCGTTGAAGAAAGTTGGTCTTCAAAAAGCTTTAACTCCGATGCAGACGTATCAGGAGCAATGTATACGTTTCCAACGATGGCTGATCGAAAGCCAGTTAAGAATTTTGGTTTGCAATTAACTAAATGACAGCTTGTAGAAATCGTTGAGTACGTGAATATTACGATTGCTGCGTTGCACCAACATTGACTAACATGTTATAACGCCATCACCAGGAAACTGGGGCTCTCCGGGGCGGTCAAACCTGATGGGAAAATAACCATCGAGTTGAAGTACCCCATTTTCCACATCAATATGCAACCAGCTTTCTTGTAACAGAATGATTCCTGTATTAACTTACACATTTCGCTGCATAATGGCACCGAGGTTACTGATTTTACCAAGAAGCGAGCGAACATTACTAAAAAGTATCAGTGGAATTTGCGCTTTGTCGATAGAACAACGACTGAGGCCAGATTGCCAGCCAGCACGATACTTTCGCTTTTTTCCCAGGCATTTATTCCTGATAGGTTTGAATCTGTTCCTGACTTTATGGCCGTATTCCATGAAGCACTGATTTATGGCAGTAACACCTAACGTTTTTAAATGGTTGACTGAATAGGACAACATTGGCCTTGAGATTTGATACGAGAAAACAAGTTGCTTCTAAGTTAAAAATAACATATAGGATCCACAGTCGGTAGTGTAAATTACTCCAACGAGAACAGCAACGGCCGAATTTGAAGGCCCTTCCAGCATCCTCAAACATGCGTGCAAGACGGCATCGTTTTGTGACTTTTTTTGCTATCCGGTATTATATCCTTTGACGATGACTACCTCGTTTTGTTCTCCGTCTACAACAGGTCGACGTATATGGGTATTTACTGGGCATCTATTGTACTCAGTAGAAATGCTATATATATATATATATATATATATATCCACAGTCTGTTAACAGACATTGTGCCATCAGAACCATGGCAGAAGAAAATAAAGTGCAGATGGGAACACGAACCGCGATTTAAAAAATTGGGGAACGATTATTTTGGTTTTACACACGCCATTTTGAATTTTTCCTTTTTGTTTTGTGTGTTTTTGTGTGCATTATAGAAAGGATATAATGACAGAACAACATTGACGCCCCCTGATGTCTTTTGCGGGCCATGACGTCCATTGTTTCCAATCACTGAGATTCAGCATTTCGTGGTCCCCAACCTGGAAGACGAACTGGTCCGACTGCCGCCAAACTTGAGGTTGCCTTCTTCATGCTCCTTCTCCACCTCATTGGCTGTCCACTACGGCACTTTTCGAATCGCTCCCTGGGAGTGCAAATAGCGCTCGACGTGGAAGGCGATGGCCTGGCATACGCAAAACGCACCCGAGCCAACGCATGCGATGTCGGAGAATAACGTTCTGAAGACTGGCACTACTCGCTCAAAGCACTCGGTCTCGGACCTCTGCGTTGCTTACTTGGTGTTGCCACCACACCCGAGCAATCCTTCGTAGACAGCGATTATCGAAGACTGATAGCCGCTTCGTGTCTTCCGAGCGAATAGGCCAAGTCTCACAGCCGTACAAGATTACTGCACGGACGGAAGCATCGTACATTCTGCACTTGAGCTTGAGACTGACATCATGACGACGCCATAGGTGTCTCAGTTTGATGAATGCAAGGCGGGCCTTTGCACTCCGTTGTGAGACTTCATCCCCAACACCGCCCCCAGTAGTGATGCAACTCCCTAGATAAGTAAAGCAAGGGACTTGCTCCAGTAGAAGTGCTATAATCATTTCACTCAGATGGATCACAGCCGCACTTATCCGATTTGACTTTGGGCCTTCGCAGGGCTACTGGAGATTATCTGAAGATATGATGCCTTCCGGCGTTATTCTCCTGCTCACTGACCACCAATAGTATGCGCAAACGGCATCTCTCCATCATTATCCATCTGGTTAAGATTAAAAATATCACAGTCAGTACTGCTTACATGGATGCCTTATTGGGCCACTTATTTAGTATCTAACAATGTCTCTAGGGATGTTTGTGGCTTTTTGCGCGTTCGAATGTAGTGGAAATCTGTTCCCCAACTATGCACCGCTCATTACTTTTTACTAACAGCACCTATCTCAAACCTTCGCACTCCTTTACCTGACACAATTTAGACAAAATGATGCTGTGAGCCCACATTGCTCATATTACAAATAGCTCGCATCGATGCACTGTTTCTTTTATCGATCTGGAGTGCGTGTGTAGACTGCATTCATGTGTTCTTGCGTGCATGCATGCCCCCACTTTTAAACTCTCAAGGGAGCACTCAGCTTTAAGACTTCTCACTCGTCGCCTGGTCTTGCTGTCCAGTTCATCGGTTTTAAGACGACCTGACCCATCAGCTTTCATTTATCTACGAAATGGAAGAATCGCAATTAGATCAGCACTGCTTCCATTGCGCTCTGCAGGAACTTGAAGCCGCTTGTTCGTCTACCTTGTGGCATCTGAATACTAAGTGTGTTTATGGACCTTCGACTAGTCTGATTTGGATGTGTAAGATGATTCCGTCTGGACGAGGTTGTTAACGTGATCAATACACTATGAGGCGTCATCTTTTTAAATGTCTCACAACTGACCGGGATCGTTGGGGCCCAGTGCGTCTGGAAGGAATCGATCACTGCTCCTTTGCACTATTCCGAGAGTCTTCAACGAATTACCACCCAACGGAGAAAGACACTTACTATAGACTCAACCACACCATTCAGATGGTTGGACGGGTAATTTGGAGAAAAGCGCAGCGGCTCCATCGTAACACCACAATTTGTTGATACAACTACACTCTTGAAGGGCATTGGAGTCGCGTCCCGTTCCTTAAAAGGAATTCAGTGTGAACTTTTTCTATAGGAACTAAACAAATTGATTGAGTCCAATGATCCGGGCTATCATTTGCGCTCCTGAAGTGTAAAGCTTTCCTCCAAGATAGGCAGGGACCATTTCCTGCACCTACCCATGGCGAAGATCAGCTAGACATCCCCAAGAAAGTTTACTTCCTGGGCAGATATATTAGTGCAAGTGTAATAGAGGATGAAATCACGAACCGTATAGCAAAAGCTCGAGGCACTTTTGCTCAATTTCGCCACCTATTTCTCCGGTGCGAGATCACTCTCGTCCTGAAGATTAGAGTCTATATTGCAGTCTTCCGTTCAACCCTAGTTTACGATTGTGATGCCCGACCTATCAGGATGCCGGACACAAAGATACTAATTGCGTTCGACCATCACTGCCTTAGTGGTTTAGCTTAGGTCTAGTGGGAATAACGCGCGAATTATGCGTGGGTTCGGGATCTCCTATTTGGTGCGGGGATAACTAGTGAACCACTCCACCGTCATATCACATACCACGCTCCGATGGTTGGGCCATGTGTTACGCATACAAACACAGCGCCTACTATGATGTGCGTTGATTACGTGTACCGGCGTACTGTTGACGCCTCTCTGTTCCTTTCTTCAGTATGTGGTGGCACCTAAGTCCGTTTAACTTGATGTTTCCATTACACAAAGAGTGATGGACACAGTTGCCTTGGCTCCCGTCACTGCATTCATATAGTAGAAGTTGAAAGACAAGAGGAAAACGGGGAAGAAATTAAAACAATGTCAAACAAGTGAGCACCACCGCAGTCATCAAGAGTCAGGAGCGTCGGACCGCTTGTATGGCCCACATTAATTTTGTGGTCGTGTCACCTTTGAACTGGTTTCGAATCATTGATGTGTCCGATCTCGAACCACACACGGGACTGCAAGTTCCGACCAGGTCCGACAGTTCCATCGATTTTTTCACCTGCCTCTAGCATGTCAGGAAATTGAGTAGACAGTGTGCGGGGCTGGAGCTTTTATTTCACAAAGCTTTCGGCAACATCGCGTTTCACCGAAGCACTAGAACAGTGGTCTATCTTTGTCCACTTTGCTATGAATAATAACGAATCCTTCCTTGTTTTTGTATTCTTTTTTCATATTTCGTACGTCCACTACAGGCTGCTCGTATTGAACGTGGCGAGGCTCGCGCCGAGGCTGCTCGACGACGTGCTTTGGATTCTGCGGCCGATTTCAATCACCGGCTAATCAACGAACGCTTAACTAACCGTCGTTGCTACTGGGACTTGCAAACTATGCAAATACATTTGCCTCAACGAGTCTACAAGCTGCTGGAACCGCGTCATCACTCTAAAGGGGCTTATCCAGTTGCCGTGATCCCCGGACAGTTTGCCGAACACTATGAAGTCTACACACCGAAACAGTTGATGCACTTTCCTCTTTCCCGATGTCTGTACTCCCAGCCAAGTAGAAGACATCGCGAGCCACCCCCACTTCCAACCGATCTCCGTTTTGGATCTCTTCGGCCCCCGGTGGTGAGCTTACCGGAACCAGTTCCCAGGTCCGCCGCTGATGAGATTGATACCACAGACGGGTCAGCGGCGTGCATGCGCACTACGACCAAAGACTTCAAGACTGAAGACGGACACGAGTAAGCAATGTACCGTGTTGACTCGATTGCTCTCAACCCACCCACCTTTTGACATGTCGTACGAGAAAGTGCAACGATTAACTTTATGTGAGTCTTTTAACACCCAGAGAGTTCTCTGCTTTCGCTTGACCGTAGTGGGGTCTCTGTCAATCCGTTTAGATGTGCCTCCGCCTGCGATATGCACACATAAAACCGCACGTGGTCGCTCGAGTCTCCACACAGCACAAAGCTTTATCTCTATCGACAGCGGCAATGCACTTATACTCTGTTCCAATATTTCGCTAGTACACAGCCATAGGAATAATATTGTTATTAGTATTGGAGGATCATGTGGAAAATGTGAATGCTCTACTGTAGAGTAACAAACCATGGGAAGATGCGATCCACGAAAAATCCAACACTTTCACCAAACATTCCGGACCAACGTGCATGCACCTCGCCTGAACGACACGCTCATACTGCTGGATATTCCGTGGAGATTTGGGGGCCTTACTAAGACATCTTCCATACAGCTTTCACTGCTCCTCGTCATACTTATTTCTACCCCACGAATAACAACATCGCATAAGTTAAGTAGGTGGTCCGCCTAGAACATGGGGTAAAGGGTGTCGTTGGTACCGGTCGCGAGCCTTCGTCTAGTACTGTCACTATCCAGGCACAGGGTGAATCGCGTGAGTCCCAGTCCGAGATGTGGAACGGGCCAACGACACTCAGTTTAGTGGTCAGCGATTTCATTTTCATTGCCTCTTAGGGCATTCCATCATCGTAAGTCCCCTTAATAAATCTGCCTTTCATGGTACAGGTTGGGTGGGCTTGCGTAGTACACACTCAAGCCGACACACAACATGTGCTGCAACCTCACATGCCGAGTTTGACAGACTGACTTGATCCTCACCACTTTGTACTTACCTACGTATCTCCTCGCTGCCGGTGGCCGAGTGGTCTGCGCACCTGGTTTGCAATCATAAGGTTCCCGGTTCGAATCCGCGTTAGGGTGGGCGTCCTCACGGTATACTCAGCCCACGCGCGACTGGTGGTGGTCGCGCGGCAGGGAAGCTCCGTTACGCCGTACAGCTGACACTCGCTGCCGATATCCTGGTACCAGCTAACACGAACAATATTTCCTACATAACTCTAGTGAAGGACGTAAATGCGCCTGGGGTCCTCAAACTGAATAGATCCATTCGCACTACTGTACAGTAAGATGTCCCCCATTGTAGTTTTATGTACTTGAAATATCTTGGTGTCAAAGATGTCACAGCTTTATGAAGGCAGTTTGTTGATCTCGCGTTACGTGCAGTAACTTCACTTATTTCCCCATCACTGCTATTGCAGCTGCAAAGATAGGTGAATCTTGCAACTGTTTCCAGTTCACCTTTGAGGGTCAAAATGATGCAAACCACTGGGGCTTTTTCAACAGCACTGTACAATTTGAAGGTGCGAGACGCATGCTGAGGGACACGGCGACTACAAAGACTTTCTTTGACATTGATTTTGACATCTAGGGAGGATGTCCACGTAGTGCGGATTCAATTTCTTCCTAGGCGACACTTCAATGTCCACACCGTGCAACCCTACAAGGAAGTAACTCATGAGTAAATCGACGAAAAAATTTGAATGAATGTGGAGAAATGGGGTACCTTTAATAAAGCACATTTGTTGACGGATAGATGGTCTATAATTTGCATATACGCTTGCGCTACTGACAGTATTCATGTACGAAGGTACTCACCATAGGTGGAACTCTGCTTTGTTATGTCAGCGCAAGGACTGTTTGTGTATTAGAACATATCTTGGCAGTAGTACCACCAACACACTGTAGTGGAGGAGATTAATGGTTTACATGACGTTCGCCACTGGCAGAGCCAACCAAACATTCACTAAGTACCCTTCGATGCACCCATGGACCGCTGCGTCCTCTGTTCGGATGGGTGCTGTGCACAGATGTGTCAACTATCCCCTCGACAGGCTGCCTTAAGATCTGCGGAGTGTTTGACCATCGTTGCCTGTGGAGCATTGCTAGTGTCGGATGATACTAACGTGTCTGCAACGATGACTTGCGCAGACGATTACTAGACGGAGGTAGTCATCCTTGTTCCTTAGTCACCAGTTAACAGAGTATGTTTCATTGACCTTAGCTATTCGTGCCTGCATACCGCCTACTAACGCAGGTCCTGTTACGTTTGTTGGTTGTTGGACGGCTCGAAACTCTTAGAGGACGAAATTCTACCTGGCAGCGGGCGATGAAGCCGCAGACAACCAAGCCGGACGTTGTTGGCCTATCTTGCCTTCCAGGCCGAAGTCCTCACAATTAACCCAGTTCTCTGCTCGAGACGTGACGGGACATGACCCGCACTCGACACCGATGGCACATTTGCTGTCGTCTCCTAGTCGGACTATCTATTCAAGATGTGTCGGATGCCGAGCTATCTGTGGAGTCAGGCTGATTTTGATGCGGGACAGTACATGTTGCGAGGAACCTGTCCCTCTGATGCCGCCTCACCCTCGCACGATAGTCAGTATTTTTGTAACTGCATGTTGTTGACAAGGTATAGGCGCCTTACTCATGAATGATTGTTTAAGTATTTCGTTTTGACTTCAGGTCCCTCTCCTCTCTCCCTCCTGTTACTTCCTTGGTTGTTATGATCGTACAACAGAGAAGCATCAGTTCGGATTATTGATGTTTTGCTCATACTCTGGATCTTGCCCGTTTCCCCACTGCATTTGGGCGACAATGAGAAAACAGGCTTCTTGATTGTGAGAGACAACGAAGGGCACACGCCATCATGACAGACAATTTCGGTTAACATGGCTTTCCATTTTCATCATACACGTTATCATCATCATACACCTTAGCTCCACCTCAGATATTGTACCGCAATACAAAAGGATACACAATATATGAACAATCAGGAGATAGAGAATACGTAATAATGACCAAAAACAAGTATTGCACATTGGCTGTGGGAACGTGGTTGGGGAGGAAGCTAAGCGGGAGTAGAGAAACGACGAAACTGACAACACAAACACCATTGAGATCGGTTCTTTGCTATGTCAACAAGTGTGTCCAACCAAACGTGTTTCTCGTCCTTGGGACTCCAACCCGGCAGTCGGGAGGCACAAGCTGAGCTCAAAGTGAGAGCCTTCATTCCCCTTGACCAAGTCATCGGTTGACCTCCCCTCTTCGTACCTGGACGATACTGATACTGATTAGTAGCAGCGAGGAGAGCATACTCTATGTAGCTGCATCAATTTTCGCTCTTAAACATCAACCTATTAATTATCATTCCGCTCTTTATATTTTGCCTCTGCGAAATGTTTGTCTAGAAGCTTTTTAAATTCGGCCACGGAATTCGCCTCTATTACCGGCTGCGGCAGGTTGTTCCAGGTATTCACCACTCTACGTTCGAAACAGTGTTGGTGAGCTACCCGCTTTAACTGCGGTACGATAAGTTTGTACCGGTGTCATCGCGTGCCGCTTGGTGTGCGCAGATGAAGCAGTTGTCTCAACATGGGGTAATCACTCAGATGTAATATCCGGTGCGTCATGATTAGGTCAACCCTCAGCCGACGATATGCTAAGGTGTACAGCCCTAGTTTCTTACATCGGTCTTCATATGGCATACCTCGTAAGTTGGGAATCAGCCTGGTGGCTACATGCTGCACCCGCTCAAGCTTTTCTACTTCGCCCAGCGTGATGGGACAATATGCGGGAGAGCCGTACTCTAGCATTGGTCGTATTATCGAGACGAAGAGACGAGTGGCGATCTCTTCGGACCAAGTGCTGAAGCTGCGCCTCAACGCCCAAAGCATCCGAAGGCTGTTTTGGTACAGCCTATTCGTGTTGTCAATGGACTTTAGGTCGCAGCGTGAGAGCACACCGAGGTCGCGCACGAAAGACGCGGGATGCAGCGGTTGATCAGCCACTGTGTACATTCGGCTGTGCTCGCATTTACCCAACCTCATAAATTGCGACTTAGCAGGGTTGATCGGAAGGTTAACCTCTGCAGACCATGTTGAGAGGCTGTTGAGATCCTGCTGAAGTAAATCACAATCATTGAGTGTGCGGATTACTCTCCACACCTTCAAGTCATCTGCGAACAACGCACATGGTGATTGGAGTAGCTTAGGCACATCGTTAAGTATGTCGAAAGCCGCTTACGCGTACGCCAAACCGCACGCGCCAGGTCACACTGGAACGGATACTTACGCTGTCTATGTTGCAAGTACGCCAACAGTGCATAAAGAAGTATGCACCGTGTGATTCCGAACCTGGTCTTACTTGGTGTGTTAATTTACGCCGGTGTTTCGTTCCATGCGTAGCCGTTGACTATTTGTGGGCTTTCTGCGTTTCGCATGCTACCCCTCCGACCAATAACACCGCTGTGCGGGTGCATAAGGTTGCTTTTTAAACACTCACCAACCACTCGCTGGTCGAACAATATAAACCTGATTTTACCCTCGTGGTTGTATCTAGAGGCGATGTATGCCTTCGTAGGTCCTTAACTACACTGGGTGTTTGTGTTCCACTTGTGTGCATCAGGATCCACCTCTTCGCGTTTAACTTGTCAATGCTAACCCTTGAGTCACTTTTACTCAATGCGAAGTCACGGCACTTTCATTTGAAGCCGCGTTAAACATACTTACAGTCATCACAATTCGTAGATGTGCGCGAAAACCAGAACTAAGGCGCCCTCAGTGATTTGACTGCGAGGTGCGTTGTCTCCGAGTTATCCGACCTGCTCCATGCCTTGATTGTCACTCAGAAGACGTTTGCACTAGCAGAACACTAAGCAATGCTGAACACCTTGAGCCTTGTCTTTTTTGAGTGCCAACCGATACCCTTCATCTGTACTGGATGATACCGTGTAAGGTCTTAGCACTCATCATGCTGTATGCATTGTCCCCTCGGTTGCTCTACGTGACAAGCTCCATTAGCATCCAAACGACCGCATCCTCCCGGTATCAGTATGGGATTCATGTCGCTCTCTGGACCGCGCTTATGTTTGTTCTTAATGAATTCACCGGCTTAGCTAATCTTCACTCCCACGAAGTAACTCTATGAGTAGCGAAGAAACAAAAACTGTCACCCCACCGTTTCTATTAGTGGTCGGACACTTTTATCTTTGAATGCACCCACTCAAGTTTGGTGCTAGATTGCTCCCTATATTTCCCTTAATATTTGTATTGTTTTCTCCAGCACGAAAACATCTTTATCCGGTGAGCCTGACGCTGCCTCTGTCGTGACCAGCGGAAGCCGGGGTACTGTGAAACCATGTGGGAAATCGTCGAATACGGAAACAGTTCAATGTATGATCTGTAAACAGGACGCCGAAGTGTATCTAACCTGCGCTGAATGTGGCCATACCGGACATCTGAAGTGCTTAGAAATATCTGAAGATATGCTCTCCAGTGTGAAAAGGTGAGGCCAATTATCATTACGTCTTGATCGAAGTGGTACCCATGGTTTTCCTTCTCCATTTTTATTTTTGGGAGTAACTCGAAATCAGTTTCTGTGCTGTGGATTCGCTCGGGCTAAACGACCAGTTGCTTACTAGTCACTGCAGTGCTCTAACTTTCTGGACCCTTCCTACTGTAGCCCAGTTCCAAACACAAAAAGCCACCTTACCGAATCTACAACTCTGTACCAATGATATTTTACTCATTCTTAATATTTATCTAACCACTTTTTGTGGTTGTTTGTTATCCCTTGATCCATCTTTTTCTCTATTTACCTCGTCAACGGACATTGCTCTTGATGGCAGTTGCAGTGTGTACTTAGCCGTCAGCTTTGCTGCAAACGCCTCACCACCAACCGAGATAACATCATCAGCGCGCTGTTGTGTAGCGGAGCGGGGCGATACGAAGCTTTGGTGAGTTTTATGTTAGGTAATCGGTGAGGGACCGTCGCAACGAGACTGGACCTTAACGTGGTGCGACGGTTTGCGTACCTCCTTGACCCATTGAGCTATACTGGGCGATGCGTCCGGGCACCTTGAGAGCTACTCCTACCTGGCTGGTCAATGGTGAGAGGTCAGACAAACTCAGTCTCCTGGTCCTCCAGGTTGGGGGTTTGAAAGGGGATGGCGTCCATTTCTGTAAAACTAAATCATTGCCACCTCCCCGCTGTTTTGCGGACAGGCTTTTGAGCCAAAGGCTTTGGATAAGGACCCTAATCGTGCTCGTGTCTAGGTCTGAGCGCCCTGGCAGTATCTCAGCCCACATACAACCATGACATTTTCTTCAAACATAAACTTTATGCTGCATCGGCCGTCGCGCAGATTATCAAGGGTCGCCTTATCTGCTACATACAGTAGGGCGGATAAGCAAAAACATGCTACTGCTGGCGCCTCCCTTCTTTCTGTTCCACCTTTTTCTCTTACTCCCATCCCGGCCCCCATTACTAACCTTCCTTCTATAATTCCCAGCTTAATTGACAGCAACCGAAGTGCTACTGGAGTAGTACCGTCTGCAGCCACCATCCCAGAGCAACTATCGGACGCCTATCGGCAAAATCCCTTATAAGGCCACGCTGTTCCGTTTCCATGGCGACGCTCAAAGTTCGCACTCTAAGACAAACAGGTCAGCAGGCTGCACTCGCACGCACCTTGGATACACTGGGTGTTGATGTGTGTTTTGTGTCTGAAACTAGGATTAATGACCCTAACGGGGTTATTGAATTAACTGCACCCGGCTTATTCTCTCGTTATTGGTTGCACACATCCGGAGACGCCGATGCGGCACTCACAGGTCAAGCTGGTGTAGGTATCATTCTCAGCTCCAAGGCTGAGTCATCGTTGGTTGATTGGATTCCGTTGAACAGCCGTTTCTGTGCAGCCCGTTTGACGACATCAGCTAAAGTGAATTCGCGAAGTAAAACAAAACGCTGTTTGTTTGTGATTTCTGCTTATGCTCCCATTGACTGCAGTTCTAATACAGTCAAGGACACTTTCTATCACGAACTGAACACGCTGCTACGCAGTACTACTAGTTCAGATATTATAGTACTTGCAGGGGATATGAACGCACAAGTAGGGCGTCTGAGCTGTTTAGAAGCTCAGCTGGGTGGTAAGTATGGACTTAACGCCCAACGGACTGACAACGGCGAGCGTCTGCTGCAACTGTTTGCGGAGCACCAGTTGTTCCTTCCTGCTTTTAGACACAGTGGGCGCCGAAGTGCCAATTGGCGTCCACCTGTAGCTGACCAGCGATGGACCCAAATTGACCACATAGCCATAAGTTACAGGTGGCGTGGTTCCATTCTGGATGGCCACTCTTACTGGAGTACCTGTGTCGACTCTGACCATGCCTTGGTGCGCTGTCGTTTCTCCATGAACTTTACCGGAAGGCGCACAAAGCGTCTCCCCCGATTGGCAACGGAGAAACTGTCCCAGCCCTCTGTCAGGCAAGCCTATCAAGAAGCACTGCATAGCGAACTCTCGATGTCTTGTCCCAATGACACCGAACTTCAGTGGAATTGGATCTCGGCCGCAATGCACGACGCAGGATCATCTGTTTGTGGCACTATCAGAAGTCACCGCACCAGTCACTGGATATCCGAGAGGTCCGTGAACCTGTTGGAAGCTAGAAGACACCTCCCGGCTGGTTCTGAAAACAATGTAACCAGACGGGCTATTAGGCGTGAACTAAAGTGGAGCCTACATGCTGACAAGGAAGCCTGGTGGACCAGTCGGGCTCAAGAAATGGAGGAGGCAGGAGCAGTAGGCAATTACCGCAAGCTCTTCCAGCTAATCCGAACCACTGGTCCCAGGAAACCAGGCGTCAGTGAGACAATCAGGGACAGCGCGGGTGCGCTGATACACAATATGGAGCGCTGTATGGCACGTTGGGCTGAACACTTTCAAGATCAGTTCAGCTGGCCCCCTGCTCCCGGACCTCTTCCTACTCAGGTGATGCAGGACGAGCCATGGACGGTTAGTTTAGAGCCTCCATCGTAGGCCGTGGTCCGAAACGCGATCACAGTCCTTAATCCCTTTCGTGCCGTTGGCCCGGATTCCCTCCCACCTGCACTATTTAAGGATGGAGGTGAGGTCATCTGCAAAGCACTGACCTCTCTGTTCCAACGTATGTGGAAGGAAGATAGTGTCCTGGCTGATTGTAACGAATCGATTATAGTGGCAATATACAAGAAGGGCAGTCGCACAGACTGTGCGAACCACAGGGGTATTAGCCTAACGCCAATTGTGACAAAAGTATTGGCCTCGATTATCGTTCGTCGCCTCACTGCGGAACGGGAATCTCGGATTAGGGAAGAGCAGGCCGGTTTCCGCCCAGGACGTGGCTGTATAGACCATATATTCACTTTGCGGCAGGTGCTAGAGCAGCGCCACGCATACAGCAGACCGACAATAGCTGTGTTCCTCGATTTCAAGAGTGCGATCGATTCAGTCGATCGATCGATTCTGTTCGAAAGACTTGCGCGTAAACGTGTTCCCAAGAAATATGTGAACATCCTTCGTGCTCTATACTCGAACACTACAGGCCGCGTCAGGGTCTATGGTGCCCTATCGGATAGCTTTTCGACTACAAGTGGCGTTCGTTAGGGTTGTCCGATTTTCCCATTTTTGTTCAATTTCGTCGTGGATTCTATCATGGAGTGTTCCCTTGCGGAATCTCACGATGTAGGTGTTGAAGTGCTACCTGGTTAGATTATGCGGACGATATCGTCTTGCTTTTCGACAATGTTGGGGCGGCACAATCAACCCTGAATAGCCTGTCCAGAGTGGTCCCATTATTTGGTATGCACTTCGCACCTTCAAAGTGCAAGGTGCTGTTGCAGGACCACGGGCCACTTAATGAACCCTTGACACTTGATAACGAGGAACTCGGGGTGGTTGATCATTTCACTTATCTTGGCAGCTGCATCAGCAATGATGGGCGCATAGAAACTGACGTCAGCCCACGCATTGCTAAGGTCAGAGTTGCCTTCTTGAACCTGCGGCATCTTTGGCGACAGAAGGGAGTTTTCCTCCGTCTGAAAGGCCGTGTATACAAGGCCACAGTGAGGGCCGTTCTGCTCTATGGTAGTGAGACTTGGCCCCTTCGGTTTGAAGATCTGAGGCGGCTTCAAGTTTTTGACCATCGTTGTTTGCTAAGCATTGCTGGAGTCGGATGGTACCAGCGTGTCCGCATTGATCTGCTTAAGGGAGTAATAAGTGACGATAATTATGTTAGCTCCCTAGAACAACAGCTAGCACTGAATAAGTTGCGTTGGCTTGGGCACGTGGTATGTATGCCTGGTCACCGCTTACCTAGGAGGGCATTGTTTAGTCTACCAGGTGTAGGATGGCGCAAAGCTCGATGTGGACAGAACTTGACTTGGCAGCGGAAAACGAAGTCACTGACGACCAAACTGGGTGCCGTTGGCCCGTCTCGCCTTCCGGGCTGGAGTCCACGTGACTCACCTTGTGCTTGGCTCGAGACATGGCTCGCAGTAGACACCAGTGGCGCGTCTGCTGCCGTCTCCTAATCGAATTGCCTGGTTAAAGTGTGTTTGGTACTGCGTTATCTGCGGGGTAATGGCTGATTATGACGCGGGGCAGTGAAAGCCGCAAGAAAGCCATCTCGCTGATGCCGCCTTATCTTTGACAATTGCCAGCGGTTTGTGTCGGTGTTGTCTACACAAGGTGTAGGCACCTTGACCCTAAATGTTTGCTTAGGGCATTAAGGTTTTCATGTAAGTTCCCCTTCTCCTCTTCTTATTCTTTATTTCCTAGGTCCTCATGGTTGTATGGAAGCGAAGCATCAGTTCAAATGGCTGATGTACTGCTGTTTTTGATGATGGTGAAGATGAATCGGTGAGGGACACACACTCCTCAATGTGGATCATCTCATTTTCATTCTACTCGTCATTTCGCCTTGGTGACATTCATGGCATTGGATTATTTGCTTCACACAACCTATTTACACGTGGTGCATTCATCGCGTCACTTTTGTTGGGCTTTCGTTTCTATTGTTACCCCCTCTCTGTCTTTTCACAAGTAGGAGGCACAACTTTTCCACTGCGATATGAAAGCCAAAAGCATCTCCTATTCTGACTTTTCCGACCTTTATTTCATCTGTACAGTTTTTATGTGACGTGTTTGTGTTCGAAATCAGTGTTTCGTCTGACAGCAGCATCTGTTCACACGTTCTGGCTTTTGCTACCTGTAAGCTCTCAGCCCGCGAGGTTAACATCACGCGGACCTGCTCTGCCCTAGCTATTCCGGATTGGTAGTTGAGTTATCTGAATTGTCGACTGATTGCGGCGAACTTAAAAAACGCCAAGCCGCGAAGCCGCATGAAAAAGTTGACGAAACAATTGGCCTCGGCCGGTTGTTGTCGACTACCTGGTTGGAGTCCGAGAGATGAGGATACTTGCTGGTTGAAAACCTTGGAAGTTATGGCTCAAGATCGATGTCAATGGCGGACGTGTGCATCAGTGTGTTGCGGTGTCCCTTCCTCCTCCCCCTAAAAAAGAACAAACTGAAAAAAATTTCAAAACTGTGAGTGGTAAACTTGACAAAAAAGCATTTCTTGTTGCTCTTTTCTTATTATTCATATTGTTTTCCTATTCAGCCATGATTCCGATGGCACAATATCTGTACCACAGATTGTGTATAATAATAATAATAATAATAATTATTCTTCAACTCATAAGTAATAAAAAAGACACGTGACCATAGGCGGACAACTGTTTTCGATGATTAGATTATTACAATCATATTTAAGGGTAGAATAAGTAAATGAAATCGACCCATTGGCTCAACTTACATAGTTCATTACCGGTTCAGTGATGGGGGCTGAAAGTTGACCTTTGACCTGACAGGTTGACTGCATGGTACCGAGCTTGATCTGTGGCAATCGACCTCAACGTCATTCGTTATAGCTGGCCAGGGAAGCTGTAAGGCATGGATCAAGTTCTTTTGCGAGCATAAAGAAGGTTGAAACAACCGGATGCAAATCGATTCAGCTGTCGCGAGCGCACGGAGGCACAAACCTCTTGATTGATGCTGCGGATCCTGTAAATTATCCTGAAGGCACGCTTTAGATCAACTTGGTGCCCAGTGTCGACAATATGGGCCAAAACGGTGCTGCTAATGGCCCCAGTTCCTTCTTGACGCAACTAGCCTGGGCAGTGTTCGTTCACGCGTTTGGACAAGTGTCGTGCCGTTCGACCGATATAAGTAGCTTCACAAGCGCACTTGAACTGATAAATAACCATAGATGAGGTCAGTAATGGCAGCATATCCTTATTGTGTGAACAGACAAGTGGTTATTTATCAGTTCAAGTGCGCTTGTGACGCTACTTACATCGGTCGAACGGCACGATACTTGTCCAAACGCGTGAACGAGCACTGCCCATGCTGGTTGCGTCAAGAAGGAACTGGGGCCATTAGCAGCACCGTTTTGGCCCATATTGTCGACACTGGGCACCAAGTTGATCTAAAGCGTGCCTTCAGGATAATTTACAGGATCCGCAGCATCAATCAAGAGGTTTGTGCCTCCGTGCGCTCGCGATAGCTAAATCGATTTGCATCCGGTTGTTTCAACCTTTATGCTCGCAAAAGAACTTGATCCATGCCTTACAGCTTCCCTGGCCAGCTATAACGAATGACGTTGAGGTCGACTGCCACAGATCAAGCTCGGTACCATGCAGTCAACCTGTCAGGTCAAAGGTCAACTTTCAGCCCCCCTCACTGAACCGGTAATGAACTATGTAAGTTGAGCCAATGGGTCGATTTCATTTACTTATTTTACCCTTAAATATGATTGTAATAATCTAAAGATAATCATCGAAGACAGTTGTTCACCTGTGGTCTAAGTAATACGCAACAATGTCTCATAGATCCATCGCAAAAATGATTACCGTTTGCGTCATTTTTCCTTCTGTTGAACTCACTTGGCACTATATCCGTATTCATTTGCTTTCGTTTCTTTTATACCTCCGTCGGCACATCCTCTGATGGTGATATTTAAGCTTTTGTTTCTGCCGGACATTCCACACATCATCCCTGCATTACCATCATCACCTGATACTTCTACACCGTTCTACACACGACATCATCCGGTAGTAAGAATAATGAAGTTAGTGTACTACAAGCGCCATCCTGTGCTGACATTCAGCCGATTCAAACAGCTACATTTGGCCAACTATGATGGGAGCACTCCTGATGTTACTGTTCTCTCGCTTGGACTGCAAGATTACATTCTCTTCGTGTCAGCCCAATATTCGCTTGTCGACTGCTCCTCCTTCCTCGAGTTTTTATTACTCACTTTAGATACTACATGGTATACAAATATGTACACAGTTTCTAACATCTCACAATTACGAGTCATACCACTGTGGGCCTCCGTACATAGTTCGTTCATCGGACCGATATCAATACCGGCCGTTCAGCGGCGCAAGCCGGACCCTGAACCGCGCCTTGTTTCCCTTCTCGACATCCGGTTAAGGTTCCTATGGCTTTAATCCCCATGATTGCTTAATACCAACTCTTCTCTTTGGCGATTCCAATTGAAACGATCACGTTTCCTGCGCGATCCGACCCCAGCCACCTTTAGAAGTCAGCGCCCTCGGTGCAAACGTTTGTTGATGGTGGAACGACCGAAAACATGGCAGTAGTCTGATGCGAATGCATATTTATACGTCAACCCAGTAATCTTCAGCTGGGTCGGCTACTATAATAGGTAGCGTATGTCCGCTCAGAACACTGAAACGGTAGACGTATCCATCGCATGTTAGACTAGAATATTCCTTAAGCAACCTAATGCATCCGCTGATTATTATTCGTTCAAATCGTTTTTGCATTGATCTACTAGGTTTTCCTGGGCTAGTTTACTTCCTCTCGGACATTTAGACCAACGGACGTCACTAAACTGGGTCACTCTGTTCCCCTGTGCATGGCCTATCCATTGTCTGATCCGTTAATTTGATATCGACGCTTTTTAAGTGGACAACACCAATCATATAGCCCGACTTTTAACCCTTACCTCTGCTAAAAACACAGCGTCCAGTTTTTGTTTCCCGAACCAGTGCACCTTTTGTTCCCTGTTTTGTCGTTTCCAGCTATCAGTGGTCGTGTATGGAATGCAAACGTTGTGTGGAATGCTCAGATTCCGGACACGAAGAACAAATGATGTTCTGTGATCTTTGTGACCGTGGATATCATGCGTTCTGTGTTAGCTTGAAGAAAATCCCACAAGGACGTTGGGAATGTCCGCTGTGTACCGGAAAGCCGATTGCTCTGGTTAAGAAACGCTCTCGCACTCGCAACCGCGCTCGAACTCGTACATCCAAGACTCACAGATCTCGTTCCACATCGACCGGTACCAGGAAACCAAGGAAACCTAGGAAGAGCTTCGCTGATATCTCTCTTGTTATTGGTAACAATCAAGAGGCGAAACCTAAACGGAAGCCCAGAAAGAGCAAGAAAAAGATTGCGCAAGACGCAGTTATGGCGGACACTTCCGTGTCCACCCCAGCTACTGTGGCGGACACAATTGACGGATTCCATCCCAGCCCGCCACCTGTCCCTACACCCGAGAAACGTAAACGAGGTCGCCCCCGCTTGTCCGATGTTGACTCTTCATCCACCAAACGGCCAAGACGACCTAGACAGCGGAAAAGAGCGAAACCAGAGGTTCCCGATGTTGTTTCTGACTTGAATTTGCGGGCCGATACCTCGTCGCCTGTTCATCATTCAACGGAATCTCGCTTAGTGAGAAGTCCAGAACACCGTCCCACTTCCTCTCCTGCCCGTACGCCGGCTGAAAGTGACGCCGAGCAGACTTCGAAGGTGGATACTCCCACCACAGAGGAAGAAATCACCACACTTCCCACACTCTCTCCATCGTATGGTAATACAGCAGAGCCCAAGGAACTTCCCGAAATCACCCACTCGCCTACAGGCTGATAACCCTCTGTTGTCTTGCCGTCTTCCTGTCCATACAGATCCACTTGTATCTTATATATGTCCGTTGTTGTATTAGTTTTTCCATCATGCTTGTACATATTTGACTTTGGTTCCACACTATACTTTTGTTCATCTTCTTTGTTGTTGCTGTGTATACCTTAGCTTTCTTCGTGTTTTCAAGTTCCAATCTCCATCCCATTGTTTAATCCTATCATTTCCTAAACCGTATCATCAGACAGTCCATTTGGCTTGGCTTTTTTTTACCTCTTCATCGAGTGACGATGTAGCGGTCGATACCATGAATTCTTCTGGACTTCCCGTCTCGACCGCAGCTGCGTGGCACTGATACTTTTTTCCTGTTCGTGCACACGATAGTGTGTTTATCGCTTTTCGCTCTCCGGGCACCTATTTCCTGAGCATTCGAACGCCGTTTTCCACTGAGTCTGTCGCTGTAAACGGTTACATTCGACGCGATTCGACCACATCGCCGTTACAAGACCATTGGTGGAATCTTATCTTACTCTTCTTACGTTGCACGGAGGTGTTCAACAAAGGCTAGTAACCCTACAAAGGCAAACGGCTTGTCTAGAACCCTATCTAAAGACTTTATCCGAGATAGGAACGCGATTGCTGCCCTCACTCGTTTTCGCATTGCTTGTCCAGGTTCTCTTGCAGGCACGCTTCTTGAGAATGACAGTAAGGTCCTCCGCAGTGCAAATGTCTAACTGCTCGGACGGGTGTGGGAGAAGGAGACCATCTTCCTTCATCGATCATAGTGGAAATATATAGGAAGTGCATTGTTTACTCATCGTTGCCTGCAGTGCTTCGATAGTATAGGATGGTGGCACCAGTGTATCCACAACCATGATGTGCGTAGGCGGGGACAATCAGGCTAGTTTCCCGCATGACACGTGTAACCAAAACGTTCGCTGGAGTAACAATTGAAGCGCCATAAGTGACCATTTTCTGCACTCCTGTCCATCCTAGTAGACACATTTTGGACGAATTTTGATCATTCAGAAAATCTCCATTTTAGCCCTAACATGTCATTAACGCCTCTTTTCTTGTTGCAACTACCGTTCACACTTAGCGGAATTGTTTCTTAAATTGCAATAATGCATTACTGCATCAGTAAGGCAACACCGAGAATTTTTGATTTACCGATATTCGTTCCTAATGGGGCGGTCAGGAGCACAAAAATGGTCACTCAGCAGCTCTTCAATCACTCACGCTGATTGAAAGCATGATTTTATTAAAAAGTAGACATAGATAAAGGCCCGTGGTTTTAATGATGCCTTATAATATTTAACGACATAATTAGACATTTCGGTGACAAAATAAAGAGAAAGTAAGTGTCGGGTTGAGAATTCTTTTTGAGTACAACCTCATCGGATCCAAACGTTTATTTGGCAGGGATTATGCATTGGTAACGTCAACTCGGACTGGGAAATTGATTTCGGAGATCAATCAAATCGAGCGAGACCAAAAATGTCTCCAGCGGTTGAAATAATGCAGCGTTGTGCGCTTAGGTATCGGCGAAACACTGTTCGGAATTTACAGTTCCGGGTAAATGTAGGATCTATTGGTAGAGTTTTCAGGTATATGGTATCACTTGGTGTTGCTTTTCAATTCGAAACGAATAGGTTTAGCTCCAGTGGTGTGCCGCAAATTGCGGCAGCGTTACTCCGCAAGAAACAACAGTGCATCTGTGTTCGACATCCATGACACGGGTAAGGGGATGCCAAGTATAAATATGGAAATTGGGTGCGTCCACGCAAGTCGATACGATGTGCTCGTGTGTGAGTTCGAAGCTTGGCAATATGGTCCTCTAGTTTGACATAACCGTAGGTTAGAACAACGCCAGGAAGTACGCGCTTACAGTGTGGTGTGGCTGGCTTGCGGCACACCACCCTCACACCTAACATTCGCCATAAACCCGAAGTAACGTGACGGAGATGCATGAGAACAGGGATCAACCCACATCACTTCATGCGCAAAAGTGACCTAAATTCCTTGAAACGTGTTACGCGCAAACAAGTCGCTGACCAAACTGCGAGTCTAAAGAAGGGAATACTGCTCTGACCCATCACTGCCACGTATAATAAAGGTAAATAACCGTCAGCTGTACACAGCAACAACACTTCGCTACCGCGCGACCACCACCAGTCGCGCGTGCGCTGAGTATACCCCTAGGACGCCCGCCCCTACGCGGATTCGAACGAGTGACCTTATGACGTCAAGGCAGGAGTGTAGACCACGTGGCCACCGACCGCCTGCCACGTATCCGCCCACATCTCCCAATCAAGTCTTATCTAGATCGTGACTCCAGTGACCGTGCCATCGGCATTGAGCGAGTGGTGTGTAGGCATCACTTGTAGGGAGTACAACCAGATCCGATATATCACTCGGGAATGGGGGCGTACCTCAGCAGTTTAAGCACAGCCAGACTTCGGCACTGCATGTGGACTTGTGGATGTTTAGAAAGTTTGGCTTATCGCATTCTTCTTCAGAGCTGTGAAATAGGCTGTCCAAAACTGGTTTTTATACGCCTCTGCCTCCAGCGTCGTCTGGACGTACGGGTTCATGGCATTAGATCCGACCCGGAAAAGTGCAATGTGGAATCCCACAGCTATTCGTACTAGGGATAGGTTTATACTTTTTGTTTATACTCCAATGATTTGGAGGGATATCAAAATGGCAGAAGACTACATGGCACTGCAAGGCGACGTTGACGGATTATATATATATACATATATATATATATATATATATATATATATATAATGCCTTCGAAACCATGGCGAAATAGGAAAACAGGGTTAGATTAAATGAAAAAAACTCTCCAATTTTTTCTCCCACAGTTTTTGAACTTTTTGATGTCTTATTGGAGGTGAGAATGGGATGATCCATCAATGGTTCGTCTGTGGGCGAAATACTACCCGGTTGCCCAGGCCGAAGTATGGGGTTGTCTTAGGGGACCCCACCCCGAGCTTTTGATCCAGGTTCCAACCTACAAGGCAGTAGGGCGATATGAGTGTATCGTAACCCGTTGAGTGCCGGTGACCAAACAAGTGGTTCATACGCTTTTAGGGCCGCATAGGACCAGGGACCCAACACACCGTAGAATTACACTTCCACTCAGAGAGAGGCAAGGGACAGTGACTTTATTTAGTGGCGAGTCACATCCACCACGTCACAGTGTTGTTAAACGAGTAGTCGACTCAAAATCTGCTAAAATGCAATGGATTCACGTGTTAAGTATTGCGAATATGACATCGGAACTCCTATGAGTATCAACAAGAAACGTATCTTGTAGCCCTCTTCGAAGTGCTCGTACAGGATTACCTTTGTTGCTCAAGGCAGGTCTAAAAGGCACAGAAAAGTCCAGCCAGCACGTAAACCTCTTCCGAAGGGTGTTAGGGCGGTCCAATCCCACCAGCTTTCCTCAACTGCACGACATTAACGTGAAGCCAATGTGGAATGCGCCATCCAGGCCATTAACCCTTAACAAAACGATAACTCATTGTTCTTAAGACTACACGACGAACGATGGCCCAAACTATGAAAGGCCTGCTTCATCTCACTTGCCAGTATGGGCTGACGGCCCTGGGTGCTTGCGGTGGGCAATATCGGCGTGTTCACCCTGCCGTAAACATAGTGTGATTTGGCGCCTATAGGTTCCTCTTCCTTTGCTGATGGTAACAACAGTCTTCGGGTTCGAATGATCCCTGCGCAGTACATTTCTCTGAATGGCGGGAGTTCAGCGCTTGCTTGTCCGCGTAACGGCGTTACCCTTAAATGGGAGCTCGAGATATGCCTTTTTCTTGGGTCCTGTCAACATGATTTCTTGTGTCGGTCTGACTTAGCTGTGTTTCTCCATAGAGCGTTCAGGGTAGCAGTTTTACATGTGCGTTCTGATAGTGGCCTCTACCTCCTCAACCAAACAATCACTCGAGCAAGTACGCCTGGCGCGACTGAACGTTTTCACCGGCACACGCTTGTGACCCATTGGTGTGAAACTAGCAAAGTGCAGATATTAACCAAACCGTGTCAACTTCCGGTATACGGGTAGCTCAACGAGCCAGGTGCCACGTCGGCTAATGAGGATGTTTAGGTACGGCAGTCATTCATCTTGAATTCATGAGTAACGTTTACATTGACATCGAAGCTATTAACTTGGTGCACTAAGCACTCGGTTTGCATCCTCGAAGAACCGAACACGATACTGTCGTCGACATATCGTTTCTAGCATTATCATGAACAAATCGTCCGATGAGGGGTCCACAGGATTATCCGAAGCCGGTCTGTCCATTTGGCGGTATGAGTTTTATTTATTTCATTGTAATTGGTTTACAAGCCACAAAGGGCAACTATTATTCCGGAAAAGCACTCGTCGATCGTTTCTGCCTATTGTGGCTCGTCTTTGGTGCATTCCCTCGGTCCCCATCCAGGGAACCGAACCTATGACCGCTAGTGGCTTTCACCACTCGCCAACAGCTTTTGCCACTGAGTCATGGGGCGGGTGGGCAACTACTGACCACCATGCATTGAAATCTAATCTCGATATAGCCCGAACCGGAATCCAACCTTTTCTATCTATAGCAACAGAAATTGTCTAAATAAGTTCGGTATCTGCACACGTTAGTCTTCGACATCAATCAACTGTCATATGTGTGCCTCAAGCAAAGGGACATTAATGAACAACGATTGCACATCCAATGAGCACATAATCTAGTCGGTTACGCTGATTTGATCGAAATATTCGATGAATTCGAAGAAGTCAATAGGCCATCTGGATTAAAATGTTGTCCTATTAGCCAGCGCCCTAATGTATGCTGCGGAGAGTCCACTAGTGATAACATTTATCTGAGTGGCGCATCTCCATTCCGTGTTCACACCAGCATCGACCGTGTGCGTCTGTCCGTCTATTGATTACCCACTCACAAGTGGCCTGGCTTCAGTTACCTGATCCATGCTCAGTACCCGTTCTGGGCGGAATACGCATTTGTGCGCTACCAGCTAGTCGTGTTCTGTTGTCATTGCGTCGTTCGGCTACGAGCCATTATTGCGTTCACAGACTAGCGTTACTTCCGCACGTGTAGGCTTTAACATCCTCCCTTGTGCAACTTTGGCAACCCATACGGCTGTGGCGTTGACGAGTCAATCGTCGTCGATGACGCGATATAACATATTTCTAAATGGCGACCAATGCGAGCTTCCTACTTGAGATAGGCTCTCCGGTGGATCAGTGTGCCCAGAATATCTGGAATGTAATCGTTTTTGTTCATGACTACCGCGCCTTGGCTTTTGTCTATTTTCAACACAACCATCCCTTAACCCAAAGTAAAAAGAGAAAATATGACTGGATACGCTGAATTCAGCCATTTCAAGTATTTTCCTTTTATCTATTGTAACGCCTGCAAGTGTCAGCTTGTGAACGCAATTTTTCGCTCATCGGTACCATAAGAGCCTCATGAGCGATGTCAGTCGGCTTATTTCCAAACCAACCGAGAG